TAATAGTCACATCATCGTTCATTCTAGTTAAACTCTGTAAACAATTGAGAGCTATGCAAATGTACTCATCGATTTGAAATTGTAGCCGAATCAATGCTACTCTGAGAATAAACGAATTTCTTTGTTTATAACCCTTGTTTCTGGTTTTTTCAAAGACTTTTTTCTGTTGATTGTTATCCTATTCTTTTTTTTAATGATCGATCAGAACAATTGTGGCTTGTTGACGTTGAAAATATTGAAATGCAATAACATTTTATTCTTGTTATCATGCTTATTACATATATGCACGTAGGTGTATCTGTCGTTAGCCTCAATGAATATTCGAAGAGTTGATCAAATAGATAAGCTCAAAAGGAAAATAAGATAATTCATTGTCTTTTTCGGCGAATTTATTCAAGAGTTTATTCCATACGGGGTACTCTTGGAGTACATTTTTTTTACAATGGGGTACGTCATTGAGGCACATAACTTTTTATTGAAATAGAAGGGTTAATGTGGAAACACTTAAAAGAAACCGCTTTTCTATGAAACAACATAATATTCAATTTTTCTCTTTTAGAAATCAATTTCATTGTTGTTTTTCAAACACAATAAAATACTCTCAGTTTAATCATGACTTTTAGAAACAAATCTAAGTACTATAAAAACAAACGATATAACATTTTTCATTAAGGCATAATAAATATTGAAATCAACTATAGTACTTTGGCGTCAAATTCAAGATGAAAACTTTTTTTTCAGTTTTGGTGTTTTTTACTTTTTCGTATTTTTCTATAAGCAAGAAACATAAAACAGTTACTGGATATTGTGGGTATAGTTATAGAGAGACCGCTATCAGCTACAATTAACATTATTTCAAAGAGTAACAGCTGTTAATAAATATAAATAATTATTCCTATAATGTACACGTTCGGACAAAAGTCTTTTCCTCTTTATCTTTTTATGATATCATAGTTTGATTCAAATTTATTGCCAAATAGAGATATAACATGAGAGTTTTATTTCAATATGATGTACAGATCACACAGTAATAAAACTCTCATGTCATATCTCTACTCGGTAATAAATTTGAATTCAAGTATGGCAGCATAAACAGATAACGGGGAAAAGACTTTTGTCCGGAGATCTATAAATGTCTCTTATCTCATCTGGTTTTTTTTATTCCTCTGGTAAGCGTTTATTATAGTTTTACAGTTCTATAATATACTTATACAGCGTAGCTATTATTTTCCAACAGAAATTTATTTAATCATTCTAAGTGGCTTAGTTATGAAAAAAATGAACCTTAGTTCTGACACTGGTGCCCGTAATCCCAGCCATAGTGGTTTTTGATTTGGTACTAATCGCAGACGGAAGGAGGCAAAAGAATGATTACACATGCTCGCTAATACAACGATATTTTAATTAACCGTTATCCTTTGTTAGAAGGATCTACAGATAGTAGAATGGATGCAAATAAATAGGAAGTTGTAGACGAAAAACAATACAATGAAAGCAAAGATGATGAGAGTAATACGGATACATAATATAACATTGAATAATCCTTTAATAAACAGAAACCTTTCAAATAATACTTCTGGACTTAGAGACTATATTGATTTTTAACCACTTAAGGCCCCACCCCCATCCAAAAGATAACTTTTTCATAGAACATGCAAAACATATGAAATTTTCAGCATACGCTAGGGCTCTAGTGAGGATGCTATGGTAAAATTTTGAGCTTGATCCCAAGAGGCTTTCTGGAGATATTGATCAAACAAAGGTAGAAAATATCTATTTTGTTTCCCAAATTTCTCTGTCGGATTTCAGTCTATCTATCTCATTGTTTTTCTGTTTGATAGAGCATGTCAGGCTGCAGAGAATAACAGAGTCCTTTTTTTTTGAAATCGTACTTTTTTTTTTGAAAAACCAATACCATAAGTTCATCATCTCAAAAAACTCTACAAAAAATTTGATTTTTTTATACATTTTCGTAGAGTTTTTTGAGTCGTTGAACTTGTGATATTGGTTTTTCAAAAAAAAAAGTAAGATTTCAAAAAAAAAGGACTCTGTTATTCTCTGCAGCCTGACATGCTCTATCAATCAGAAAAACAATGAGATAGATAGACTGAAATCCGACAGAGAAATTTGGGAAACAAAAATAGCTATTTTTTATCTTTGTTTGATCAGTATCTCCAGAAAGTCTCTTGGGATCAAGCTCAAAATTTTACCATAGCATCCTCACTAGAGCCCTAGCGTATGCTGAAAATTTCATATGTTTTGCATGTTCTATGAAAAAAGTTATCTTTTGGATGGGGGTGGGGCCTTAAAACATCATTTTTCCAGATAGTTCAGCCATGGTCTGCATGAAATAAATACATTTTAATACCTGATAAAACTTATGTCACACATTTTTTGCACATATACTATTGTTTATTCTCTTTATACAGTCAGTTTGATGATTTGCTAATATTATTATACTATTATATAGCTCCAAGTGTCCCCTAGCAAATATTTGAGTTTGGTTGTAAAACAACAAAAATCATTGCAAGAGAAGGGATTAAAAGACAACCCCTCACCTTGCATTTGACGCCAAAGTACTATAATAATCATTGGTCGATTCTTCACTAGTATTGCGTATTATGAATGTTTCTACAGAGACATGGCAAGTATTATAAAAAAAACTATAATTCATTTCAATTCATAGACAAATTTATGACAGTAGAAATTCAAAAACTCAAATGGGGTACAACTTTTTTTGGGGTGCAAAATGGCAAAATGGGGTACGTATGGCAGCCCTGGTGGATGTGAACCTTTTGTGCACTCCCACACCCACACCCCACACCCTGGTCATATATATTTTTAAATATTGTAATCATTCAAAGATGTCTTTTATTTTTCTTCAAGAAACTATTTTAATTAAGAACAGGAAAAACTTATTAGATGTTTGCTTATTAAAAATTTCAATGTAATTTTATTTATTGAACAAATAATTATTGAAGAAGACTACAATATTTATCTTTGGAAAGTAATAATGAATAATCAAATGAGTATTTCTTTTCTAATCAATGATATTTGTTTATTTTACTTTGATAGATTCTCTTGAAATTCGAACTATTCATCAACAGGAAACATCAATTAAACAAGCCAAAGTTGGTACCTATATCAACAATAACAAAATACATAATATAAAAGTCACCTGTCATTGCAAACTCAATTTTTTCTCGTATTGATTTATGTTATTCATGTTTGTTGGGTTTTTGATATTGTCGATTAGTTAATTTCTCTTCATTTTGTGAATCTATCTAATTTTTTGTACTAAGGGTAATATCTTTGACACATACGTTGTTAGAAAAGTGATAAATTAAGCTTCAAACGTATATGAGAAGTTCAAAAAAGTTATTGTTTTCGTCAAGAGAATTAAAGTAAAGGTGATTTTAATTAACCTTTTTATTTTCGATTCAAATCCGATAAAAATAATCGTAAGTAGATTAAAACTGATGGAAAATTCAACAAAAATATTCTCAAGTTGCTAAAGATATTTCCTGAAAACTTTCGTAGGAAACCAAATATTTTCTACAAAGAATACTTCTTCACCTAAATCAACATGTTTTTCATTGATAATACATACGGATCAGCTTTTGAAGAAGAACAAACGAAATTATCTTTAAGAAATACTAGCAATTTAATCATTTTTCAAAACTGGTATTACTGATTCGAGTATGTCTTTGCCTAGCTTACTAAGCCTCAAGTTAATCATCTTCTTTTATTCTCCAAATTTGAAAAGAACAATTGGTTTCTACCAGAAAAAAAACATCATCCTTTTTATCTTTTATTGTAATGATAAAACAAAAGTATAATCCTTCACAGTACCTGCATTATGATCTTTATTCAGATATGCTCGTACATTTTCAAAAGAGGCGTATTTACATTTTTAATAGATTTTTTTTGTAGAGTGCTATATAATTAGGGCAGTCGAAAAGTATTGTCGGATTGTTGTTCACCGATGTTTGAAATTTCTCAGTATCACTTCATCGTTTCCTTGGACTCTGTTACCATCATTTTCAGTCGAACCTGATAAGCTGTCTATTCAAATGAAAGTTATCACAATGCTCGTCGGACGATTGAATCGACTGTACGCCCTTTCCCTTTCTTGCTGATTGATATGTATTAGACTAACAGATGCAGAAAACATTTCAGACTAGACAGGTTATATGTGTCTACTTATGATTCGGCTTGATCAACCAGTTTGCTTTATGCTGTGTTGACCTTCACTCTCACTCTCGCCTTCATGAACTTAGAATCGTTACCAAACGAGATTTTACTTGATCTCTTTGACTGTCTGGACGGTTTCGATATTCTTCATGGATTTTCTTCTCTCAATTCTCGCTTTAATCTCCTTCTTTGCAAGCACTTTCATGGATACTTCTTTGACTTTTCTTCTATCTCAAAACGTAAATTTGATATAATATGTCAACAATATTTACCATCAATTGCTAATCAAGTTAGTCATCTTAGTCTTTTTGATGCTGATAATACTCCAGAAAAAAATAAATCTCTTCTTTTCTTACATACCATCAATTTCTCTATTCGCTCATTTACGATTTTTGACAATAAATTCCCTCTATTCATATCAAACATTGATTCAAATCATCGATGAATGTTATCATCTTTGTAATCTTACTCATTTATACTTGGGTTATGATTGTTATCTGCATGATCAAGTTGATTTTCAATTAATTATGAATAAGATTTGGAGTTTATTAAAGCTTAATTATTGTCGTTTTGACGTTATAACTGATAAAAAACAAATTTTTCGCACACCAACAATATTTTCAAAATCTCTCGAAAGTATACATATGTATGGATTTGATCTTAATTTAACTCACCTATATCGATTATTCGAATACACACCTCGTCTGAAACGTATTCGTACTGATATCACTCCTTTCAACGATGATGACAATTATAAATCATCTCTCATTCCAACATTAATCAGTTTGAACATCAGTATTTTTCGTATGTTTGATTCATTGAAACTATTTGCCTTCTTGCAAAATCTATCTCATTTACGTCATTTAACTGTTTGTTTAACCAATAACTTAATTAACGGTTATCAATGGGAAAAATTTATCCGTCTTTACTTGCCAAAACTCAAAACTTTTGAATTACATATGAGTCAGGAACTTCCTGACAAACAAAATATACAAAATCAAGCAGATAAATTAATCAATTCATTTCGAAATTCATTCTGGATTAATGAACATCAATGGTTTTGTCGATGTTTTATATATAATAAAACTATTCAACTCAAAACATCATCTGAAATATTTTATTATTTTCAATCAAATTTTCCAGACTGGTGGAATTCAACATATCCACACGATAATCAACAAGAGTTTTACAGTAACATAACCAGCATTTATGATAATAAGTTTATTGATCCTCCATTTCCGTTTGCTATTCGTTTGAATAATATTCATGATCTTAGTATAAAACTTCCAGTTACTGATGAATTTTTATCCATGATTCCAAACTTAAATAAACTGAAATTTCTTAGCATATTATTCTATACTGATATTTATCAATCTCAATTGCAAACATTACTCGATCGTGCACCACATCTTTGTGATTTACACATTAAACTAGATGTATTATCACCTTTGAAAATGTCATTATTTGAACATACGAATCCATCAATTCGTCAACTGACTATAATATATCATTGGTTCAATGAGGAAGAATGTATTACATTGACTCATTCACCATTGGGCACTCAATGCGAAGAACTTTCCATTGAAGTGAAAAACCGTCAAAATATTACTATTCTTCTTGAAAATATGATTAATCTTCGATTCTTAAATATTGAATGTAAAGATGATAAGTATGCTGAACGATTATTATTAATCGATGATGACAATGAATTACGTCAGGTCCTTGCATCAATCAAGGATGAACCAGTTGAATGGTTGAAGAAACATTTACCATCAATGTATCTAATTTCTAGAGATCCATACTTTGTCAATCGTATTCGAATATGGATCTAATAGTAACATCTCTTCATCATCTGAAAATAAACATTTTCAAACTGATTTGTTTAAATTGAATCATGTTAAAAATATTCATGTTTAGAAAAATAAAGTTATATTCAATTGAAGATTGACAGAATCTTTTTTTGCAAATAGGATATATGCAGTATCGGTGAACTATTCTTAATAAACATTGTGACTGAGACTTCGACTAGGGTAGATGCGGTTGTGAGAGTTTTAGATTAGCTCACAAATATATGGTCATGCAAAAAGATAAACGAGCTCAAATACGTTTAATACAAGAACTAGAATTCTATTATGGATATGATGACGAGAGTGTGAATGGCAAAAAGAATTAATTGATCTTTTGGTTAAATTACATCAGTATGAGAAAGCTTATAAAGACTAATGATCAATTAAATTTCAACGACATTATTAAGCGCAGAACACATTGTCGAGACTGGAAAAGAATTGAAAATTAGAGAACGAATATTGTAGAAGAAAATCAATAAAATTAGACAGTTGATGGCGGATTCGAACGTAGACGAAAAAAAAACACTTTTAAAAGTTTCTTTTAATTACAAAATCCAAATAGATTTTAAAAATCATTATTTTCAACAATCATTCGAATGCATACATTTGCACGTGAAAGATAATCAGCATCTGGATTATTCAGTGGGATCATAAAATATTTTTGTGCTGTCTATTATGAAATAAACAGCCATGATCGGTTTCATCCTTGCTTAAAGGACTCATCAGATAGCATATTAATCTTATTCATCGTCAAAGAGATGACAATGAAACTCCAACTCAACCCTTACATTAGAAGAGATACAATGTTAAATTGTCATCTCTTTGACGATAAATAAGAAAAATGCCATCTGATGAGTCCCCTAAGCAAGGGCGAAATCGATCATAGCTGCTCAATCTTCATGTTCTTTCAAAAATGATCAGATTTTATTTTCTGCTGTTTGTCTAAACTTTTTTGATTTTTTTGATCGAAATTTATTTCATTTCGTAAAAAGCACAATCAAAATTGTGTTACTTCAGGTAAAGTTCTCAACTTCTCACAGTAACGCTTTGATCGAGATCTGATCTAAGGTTGAACCGTCTTTTAGAGAGAAATATTAGGTTTTTTCTGTGAATTAAATGACCATATCATCGAATGTTCTCGTACAAATAATTGAAATCATCTTAATCGGTCAGTTTCTACCGGTCTGGAAAGGTTTTTTAAGCCGTCTATTTTTCATTGAGAGTTAAGTTGGATTTTGTTGATGAACAGTAGTCTAATTACTGGAAATAATTATTTCAAAGGATAAGATCAATTTTAAGAAGTCAAAATGAAGATCATTCAACAAAAAAAAAATTAGTTCGATGTGAAATGAACAATGAAAATCCAAAGATTCAGAAATTGATTTTGCAATATGTCGAATGAATAATAAATAAAAGAATAAGAATAAACCGTCTCGTTAATATCATTTCATAAACGAAATAAGAAAATATGCTTGATTAATATGTTTATATAAAGTATTAATGCTAGTAGTAAAATCCAATTAACACTATAATTTCTTTTTATTATTTGTAATCTTTTAGAAAATCAATCATGTATCACTTTGAGGAATTATTTCTTTATTGTCAAGTTTACATTCCAAGTATGTGTCTCATAACATATGACACTTATCGAAGGAAAAACGTGTCGCTCGCATCCTGGTGTCGAAGATAATGTGTAACTATACTCACATCCATACCCAAAGCTAAAAGATCCGTTGAGTTTTGATCTATTCTATCAAATTCGTCATGCTAGAGAACCGAGAATATCTTTTGTTCAGCTAAGAAACAATGGAATTGCTTTCTTTATTCCATTTTTTTTTCTGGTTTGGAATTATTGGCTCCTTCAAAATAAGAACTAAATGCATTTTTGTTCGAATGTGCGGCGCTGTTATTCTGTTGGACACAAATGCATAATGACATGCCTTTTTTATATAAATATAGGCAATGATTGTTTCACCTATTTGTTGAAAACAAAAGCTGAAGAGATGAATGAGTTGAATGTATCTCGATTGGAAGATCTATCTGTGGAAATTTTCTTCGAAATATTTGAATATCTCACACCTGATGAATTCTATTCGTCTATCGCCCATTTAAACATTCGTATTAATTCGATTCTCAAAAAACAGCCCAAT